CCCGACACTTGACGATCGCCATCGCAGGGAGAGGTTGGCCTGGTGCAGAGCAAGGCAGAACTTGTACCCAATAATGCATAATTTCATTTGATAAACACGTTTAGATTGAATGGTAATTTATAATCAGTCACAAGAACGTCGAATCTGAATCACTTGAAAAAAACACGGGGGTGCTTAACTTTTTTCCAGGTGTATAGTTACATCTATGTGAGTTTCTTTGTGTGACTGCATAAAATATTTTCAAATAGACCAGTATTTATTGATCTAATGCATAATGCCTGCAAGAAAGCGTAGCTTAAATGGTGTGCATAAAAATGATGGAATAAGAAAAAAATTCAAGTGAAGGGTATGAAAACTACTGCAAATGTTTCGCCGGGTCATGACTAGTGTATATATGTAGATTATGTACTCTTAAGACAAAAAACAAATAGTACTCTTATAGTGTTATAAGAGTTTCCTGACACATTATTATCAATACATAAATATTGACTAGGCAGAATAGACATCTCCAAGTTATTGAAAACTTTAACGTCTTTTTAGTACTTTTAACTTAAACTTACACAAGTAATACTAAAAATGTCAAAAAAAGATTCATTGGGAGGATACTAAATGCATCAATGTTTATGTAATAAGTGTGTAAAATAAAAAAGCCATTAGAAATGCATCAATGTTTATGTAATATTTGCTTCCAGTTTAGAATTGTTGTCCAATAACTTTTTAAATTTCCCAGTTTTTTCTCTTGTTTTGTCAAAGTATTAAGGTCATGGTCATTTCAGGTTTTGAAATTTTTTTTAATTGCCCCTTTTTATTTTAATATATGAACATTTCTTGCCGTAAATCTCTTGTGATGTTTAATTTTGTAATTTACTGTCTTGTTTACGTGTATTTTTGTACTAAAAGTATCAAATTAATTTTGTGACTTTGATTGTTCTACAGATATAACTTAAATTTTTTTCAAGGATTTTCACATACATTTTTGGTTGATGCTTTTATATTATTTCATAACTAATTGATAATGTGATAATTTTATTGTAGATAAATACGTAAAGAAAAACAACAGTCAAAGAATAGAAAGATGTTACTATGATGTCAGAAATCGGTAACAACCAGCACTACGTATAATACCAGTCAGACCTGTTATTGTTTAGAACGGTGAAAATAAGTGGTTGTTTTATTATTGCAAAATAACATTCTAAATAAGGATGTAATTTCTTCACTAGATATGTTGTATTTAATATTCATGAAACTATACACTTATTTTCTTAGAAGAAAATTAGTTATCTGTGATTACTCTTGTTTAGGACCTTGCTTCACTTATTATTTGTATCCTCTGCATCATATTTACACAGAATTATGGAAAATATATTTTGATTCACATATATTTATCTTCGGCATGTATCACAGGCATTGGAAACAAATTTCAGTACACACATGCTGTTTGTTGCAGCCTAACAGGAGTTTGCTATTTAATTATTTTTTGTTAGAAAATTTGATTATGTATTAGTGCATATGTTTTTTTATTTAGTTAATTGAATATGTTTTGTAAAAATGATAAAATGTATATATTTGATCAGATTTTAGTCTTAGATACTATTATATTTTTAATGTTTGTATTAGTAAACTTATTGTCTGTAGCATTGACTATTACATGTTAATATACTGAAGCCGTGAAGGCTTTTCAACTAATAAAAGCATTAATTAATGTTTAATGTTTTACAGGTTTCAAATGTTAAAGTAATATAAGAAATTTTTTCTATACAAGTTATTAATTAAAGACTTCTGAAGTGTATACACAAATCTACACCAACATATGTCATTGTTTATGTAATACATGTTAGTAACAATATAGCTGATAAATTATTCTTGCTAACTGTAAACATTGCCTGGTTTTTCTCCTATTGGACTACTTATACTTGTTTTTTTGTTTTTTTTTCACATATATTAATGTTTTCTTGGCAATCCTGCACAATTTTACAAAAAACAAAATACTTTCACAGAGCCGGTGTTTCTTGCTTATATGTAAATATCTGGCTTATTCCTGATTTTATTACAAAAAAAAAATATAAGTTATTACTTTTTTATTAAGCATTTCTGGAGCATTTTGGGTGTAATACATATAAAAGATACCAATGTTTAATTTTGTGACATAGTGTTAATATGTGTCTGACAACTGTGTGATTGATTTAAAATCTGTAATGACTGAATAATCAGTGTTAATTTTTTCTGTTTAGAGAAGGTTTTCTAAAGGCCTGTCTTTACAGTCTGTGAAGTTAGTAAATCATTAAATAGGTGGAATATGCTAGATCTATATTTTTTTTTTATCTTTCAGAAATAAATCATATTTTTCTTGCTTATCTGCATTAAAGGTGTTACTTTTAAGAACGAATAACCCAACAGTTTAGGGTTAATTTACAATTAGTGTTAAACTTCTAGACAATAATGCAAACACAAGCAGTTTATTTTTTTATCATGTAGCTGATCATGCAAAAACTGTCTGATACAACATTGTGTGATACACTTGTAGATTCACTTTTTGTGCATATAGAGAACTTTTCTTGAATTGGAGATTCTATTTAGAAACAGTTTCGTGAAGAAAAAAAATAAAGCCACTTTATTAATTTTTATTCTTTGCTGATAGATAGTAATAAAAATGTGTGATAAACTGTGGGGTTATTGAAGTTTGGAAAAGTCATTTAGTACTATGAATTTAAGTACCACGTAGTAAATAACTTAATTTCTAAAGAATTTTAAAATACCATAATTAGAATGTAAACTAAACAACTAAAAAAAGCTGTTGGACATTCATTATTTTAATTTTGATAATTTTCATTACTGCTCCTTCTAAGGATTACCAATCTGAACTTTCTTTATTTCCATTGTAGCTATAGTCATGTAAAAAGGTGTTATTTTGTGATAATGATGGCACTGAGAATTAACTCTGTTTAAATGTGTGTAAAAAAAAAAAAATATCTTCCCTTTGATTCTGTATGTAAGATGTGTGAGAACTATTAAAGCTTTGTTCTTTTTCAAAATAAACTGTCTTCTTTTGTTGCTTTTAATATTTTCATTTTTAATTTCATATTTCATCCTGATTACAGTGGTCAGATTATAAGGTGTCATTCAATAATAATTTTAAGTAATGTGTTACAATATTTTTTGTTTAATATTTTTATTCTGGTTATTGATCTTAATTGTCATCATTTTTGCTTTGTATATGTATGTCTAGAGTTTAAAGTTGTTTTTTTTTACTAAACTAGCTTGTTTATTATTCTCTACAGAAGTCATGCTTGTTTAAAATGTTAAAAAATGTCATATTCCAAAGTAATGTTAAGTCACATATATTTTCAAACTACTGATTAACTTGGAAAATGTCTTATAATAAATCAAACATTTAATATATATTTATTCAAGTTGTAAAAAAATACAAAATTACACTAAGAAATATTTAACACATATAATGACAAGTGCAAAGCTATGTCTAAATCTAATCTTCTAACTCAAACCCAGATTATAGTATTTAACTAAATCACAATGTATAAATATTAAATTAATTTTTGACCAAGGACCTACACAAAGGTGACTTAGATCTTATTGAAAGCGAAGTTATAGCAGGCTATAATAAGTTAACAAATCAAAATTTAGAAAAGTGTGTATTTTAGATTTTAAAACTCTTCAAATGAAGATTTGTATGCAGTAGGTGAATTGATGAGCACAAAATTTGTATTCTTCCAAAGCTAATACTACATCATCATTCAAAGGTAATTTTAGTACTCTGTATATATTACCAGATATTGTAATAATTCTAAACAGTAACTAATTTCTGCATGATAAACTTCCGATCTTATGGTTATGTAGATGTAAATTACAACAGATTAAAAGTACATCAAAATTAACCCATCATGAAATTGTTATGATAACGGTTGTGAATCTAAAGTTTTGATATTGCAATCTTTCTTAATCTAAAGAGATCATGCATGACATGTACTCGTGTCAATCAATCAAGATCTTGTATATTTCATTTAAAAAATCATATGTTGACCATTTACTAGCTGTACGGTCATCTAGAAATAGAGGTGACTTGTCTATGATGATCATGTTCACAAGGACATGCAATATGGATGAATAACCTTGGGGATTGATAACAAATTTTGATTTGTAACTGCACGCTGCCTCAAAAAAAAAATTTAAGTAATACAAACTGCTATACATGTGAGTATACGATAAGTAGAAATATCTAAAGAAGGAAATCCTGATAAAGGTAAATTCTTTTAACATGAAAACAAAATCTAATCATTATTTCTACTGACCAGACTTTTAAGATGGTTGAGTATTTATTTTGAAGAAATATATTCAGTGTGATAATGTTTAATTTTCAAATGCCAAATGTATTTTTACATGACATGACTACTAAAATTTTGTGAAAATCTAGAATTTATTGTAGTTAAAATGTTGTCGTACCTTGATGAGTTAACAATAAGTTACAATGCTAAAATCTGGGTTTTGATTCTTCATCATGGGCATATAACCCACTTTGTAGCTCTGTGCTAAAGCAACGAGTTAACCACAGAATTTTTTATAATAATTTTTAAGCCAGTTTAAAACAATAAGAGATTTTGGCGAATTTTCCACATTACAGGATATTTATGATATTTTCAAACTCAATGGCGTTTCATGCGACACATGGGCTAAACGGCCAGCCCAGACTTAGACCCTTCAGTTTTAGAAATAGCCATCCTTAATTTGCAACTACTGATCAGAGGGAAGACAACTAGTCAGCAGCACCTACTACTTATAGATGTGGCTACTTTTAACCGAATAGCGCGATTGATTATCACGGTTGTAAAACCTCCTCAGCTGAAAGTGCGATGCGTGTTGAGCGGCACATTCAGGATCGAATCTTGGACCTTCCGATGCGCAACCCAGCAAGCTGACCATTAGACCACGCCCGACCCTATTTACAGAATCAATTTCAATTCTAAATTTATAAACATATATGAATCTAAACTTACCTACTTACAGGCTACTTTCCCTCTGGTCAGTATTTCAAAATTAGGATCGGCGACAGGTAGCCTTAATTATGATTACCAGATTTCCAGAGTAGAAAATTGGGAATTTTTTCCATAAGGAGTGACACTGTAACAGCTCTGAAAAGGGTTTATGTTACAGTAACTCACTTTTTAATATTTGCTAAATAATCTAATGTTTATTGCAACGAGTTTTAAAACTAAAGACAAAATTTTTTAAAAGCTTAACTAGTTAAAAATAATAATAATAAATAAATAACGCGTCTAAACCGTCTTGAAACTCGTGTTAAGATACAGAAAACTGGGACAATTTTATACTTCTAATGCTTCTGATCGGGACTTATTGATGATGATAATAATAAGGCTAAAACTGGGATGTCTGATGACCCCAGCCTAGTTAGCTTTGCTATAAATACAAAATACACATAACAAACGCCTCATTCTACTCGTACATTACACTATTAGAGTATATATAACAGATAAATACATTTTAATGGTGTTTATGTTTGTTAGTTTCAGAATTTTGTACAAAGCTGCACAAGGGCCATTGGTGCATAGCCATCTCTAAATTTGAACTAGTAGACTACAGAAAGGCAGGTAGAAACCGAACTCTGGTAAACATCACGTGCTTTCGTTACGTGTTCCATATCATAAGTAGACTGTAAATCGAAATTATGTTTGTACGCGTAACAATTTCAGCACGGGCTCAGTCATAACCTCATAACCATTTTGTGCATGTTATAGTTTTTATGCTATAACTTTTAAATTAGTAAGCGTTGATTATCAGTTAACATTACAATGCTTTTATACGCAAAATATACTTTTTTATTAATTCTTAATGTTCTTCCCATACATTTTTCTTCTTCTTTTCACATGTTACCTATCCAACATGCAAAAGAATTTTCATTTTAAGATTAAAAATATTTTTATGTATCAGAAAATTTTCAAATTTCACATTGCAAAATCTATATAATATCCAGATAGTTATCAAACATTTCATAAAGAAAAACTTTATATTTTTTCTGTTAATTTCACTAACGAATCTCAACGGGTGTGATAGATTTGACCGATCTCGTAACCAACATAAAAAAAGGAATAAACTGTATTCAATAATATATAGTTGACCTTTAGTCTTTACAAAGTGACCCTTTCTTTGCTGTG